TTACTAGACGGTTTTGAATCTTTATTATCCATTCTAATATTTGTTGCGACTTGTACTTGATAAGGTGAACTTGATCTACTTTTATCGTCATTTAAATGAGATTCTTGTGAATTCAATGGCTCGTCGTATGTTGTTTGGCTTGATGACTTTTTGTTATGAGTATTTTTATGTTCCTCATAGAAAGATGATTTGTTTGAACCTATATTTTCTTTTGCTCTTATTTCATCAGTAGTTTTTTTGTTTTGATGATCACATTGAGGGTCAGAACTTATTTGAGATTCTGATTTTTGTCGTGTATYAACTATGTTTAAATCTTCATGCAAACTTAAATCTGTTGATGTAGTTTCATGTTTTTGASTTGTGAAGATTTTTGTTTCATCTTGATTCGACTGAAGATTTTCAATCTTTTCCAATGCTGCATCTGTTTCTTGAGTTAAACCTTGTTTTAAATCTTCATTGTTTTCTCTCTTTTCTGTGTTATATTCTATACGGCCACCTCCACATAAATCTTTATCACTCTTATTATCAATGTATAAATGTTGATCATTTTTAAATTCCTTTTCTTGTATTTCATATTGTGCTACTTCTTGAATTTGAGTTGGTTTTTCTTGTTTATTTGATTTGGAACATGTACTTGATAGTTTAGTATTATCGTGATTAGAGTTTTGTAAATGATCATGAAATTGATGATTGGTGATCTCATGTTCATTTTGTTTTTTTAATTCATCAATTTTGTCTGTTATTTCACATAAATCCTTGGATGATTCAAATAAATGTTCTATTAATTTAGTTTTTTCATCAACATCGGGTAGRATTGTACTTTGTTTTGTTTCTAAACATTCATCTTCTTTATCAGAATCTTCGTCAAGTTCGTTATCTGATAAACTTACGRTGTCTAATACTTGTCGTTTTAATACCTCTGGAGAGGAATCTAATGATACCAGTACATATTCAGCGTTTTCTACTTGTACAATTTCTTGAGTCTCAATATCTGACTCAATTTCTTTTTCTGCAACTTTCAGTTTTTGTTCATCTACTTCTTCATGGAATGGTAAATCGGCCACTTCATCCGGTGTTTTTAATGCATCTTTGGCTTTTTTAAATTCGTCGTTTTTTTTGTCCGATTCGKTAACTTCAATTTCTTTTTTTGATTCAGTTATTTTTTCATCTTCTGGCATTGTGGGCGCTGTAGTAGCTCCTGARTCTGATAATTTTTCTTTTGTTACAATATCTTTGGCCGTTGTTAAAATTCCATCCAATTCATTTGCGATGAGTTTTTTTCCATCAGGAGTCAATAGTTTTTCTGGTGTAATTGCTACTTTCTCTACAATCAAAATATCTTCTTCTTCACCACTTTTATCTTTGTTACCGCTGATCAAACTAGATTTATAGACTATATTTGAGTCTTTTTTTAAAGAAGTTTCCGTGAATTTAGGATTAACTGATTTGGTTTCTTTTTTARTTATCTGAGTTCGCTTAAGTCCTGAATTCGTTCTCGAAGAAACAAAAACTTTACGATTGACTTCCTCTTTCTTACTTTTAGTAGGAGTGCTCGAAGGAGATTTTGTAGTTRTAGTTGTTGATTTCGGCTTAATAACTTGTTTAACTGATTTAGACATTTTTTCTTGATTTTCAATTGGAGTAGTGGGTGATGATTTGTCAGTAGGAGGAGATTTAGATGATAGTTTTAACGATTTTTTAGTAATTGAGCTTTTTTGAACAACCTTGTTGGAATTTACTTTTGCAGTAATTGAACTATATTTATGATCAATTTTTGGTTTTGCGTTTGCTGTTTCTTTCATAACTGACTTTATATTTGGTTTTGGCTTTTCAGTTTCAACAGAACATTTTGGTTTTGGCGTTCCATCTTTAGGTACTGTTGGTATTATAGCTGTTTGTATAACAGCATTTGAAGCCGATGTTGATACTTCCAAATTTTCCATAGTCTTAACAGTTTTAGTTTCCCCTGGAATCATTTTTTCGAGAACAGTCTTCTTAGTTGTCTGAGATTTGACTGTTACTGATGTAGATGAACTCATTGATTTAATAGAACACGAAGGATGCTTTAAAAAATCAAGATGTCTGACTCTTTCTAAAGATTCAAATATCTTATTTTGAGGACTACTTCCTGGAAACAAAATTCTGGTGATTGTAGTATTTGGATTTGCTGGTTGCCATACCAGTAGAGTACAAACTGATATTATGTTAGGGAGCGGAAACTGTAAATCTTTGGTAGGATTGAATAATTTTTGATCACCTTCATTCCACTTTGCCAAAAAGTCTTTTACCTCTTTACTATCTTTTGACGGATTTAATACATACATATCTAATTTTCCATGACCAACTTTGTGATAGAGATTGATTGGCTCTAAATTTATATTTCGATAACATAAATGCGGACGAAGTTGCAATTGTTTAAGRTCAGTTATTATGCTTTGTGCAGTATCTATTAAACTAATTGAAAGAATATCTTGTTTAGCATCTACATTAGGAGATGATATTGGTTTTCTTGTCTGAAAATAAAGATATATTATAAATATTAAATGAAAACTGTGACTGTTATAATATTTAATATCATACAAATGAAAAAAAAAATTTTAAGTTATTTTATTTTATTGAAAAATKTATAGGTGCTCTGAATAATAATGTTCCTTATTTCTGAAAACTCAATAAATTACTAACTCAAAAAGCGGTTATTATTTATAAATAATATAATTTTCTATACGATATTGAATTTTTGAACTTTTTTACCTAAATCATTAGTAATTATTATTAAGCATTGATGATATTTAATTTAAAGTAGGTAGTTATCATATACATAAAAACGAATTGATTTTTGACAAGTTATTGTATAAAATAGTAATAGGTACATAGCATCAGTGCGTTAATTAGAATTATTGAAACCAAACATTTTCGATGCCTCCCTATTATACGTTTTATAAATTTATTCACTTTAAATATTTAATTTGAATATATTTTTCTTTATTTTTACATACTTCACTAAAGAAAATGAGAATAAGTAAATTTAAAATGGTTTATTTAATATTTCTTACCTTGAAGTTACAGAAAAAATGTCCTATTTGTGGATACAATGAAGACATGGTTTTCCGTTTTAGAAATGATGCAACTCCTTCTAAATTAGTACTGTTGAGTCTTGTTAATAGTACTGCATCTAACCGATCTAAATGTCTTGCAAAACCCCAAAAACAAGAATTTCTCCCAGCTCCTCCGTCGATTAACATGTTGAATCCGTTAATACCAAATAAAGCAGAATCGCCTTGACCAGCAGGAAACACATATAGCGTAGGTCTACTAAATCTGATATTTCCAACAACTTGCGACCCTTCAAGTAGTATATCAAGTTCAGCCACTTCAATTTTATCACAAAGCCATCTTACGATAGATTCTATTGACTCGTTGTCAACGATTTTTTCCGCTGGATTTATCAAAATACGTGTGCCCTTAACTCGGCAAACTTGGTTCCAATCAGCGTCTGCAGAACAGTTAAGTTCAGTACGAATCTGATTTTCATGGAGTCTAATCGTGCGTTGGGCTTCAGCTGTTTTATACGCATCCATGAAGTCGGTGACAGAAAACGAACCGTCCTAAARTTATAGAAACAAGTTTTAAGAAAATTTAATTTAATTAAACTAGTTGTTAATTATAAATAATTCAGTATTCTATTAATTTAATATAAAATAAATAAACATGTTTTGTACATAATATTATATAATATAAACTATAAAGTACCTATATGCACACACAATGTTATTTAAATTGTATGTGTGAAAAAAATTTAAGATATCCAATAWWTATTTTAATAATAATAAGCTATTTCTTATCAAACGAAATTTACCAACCTGAAGAATCCATGATCCATTTTCTGTAAACGAATATCCTGCATGAATGATACATCTATACTTTGTAAAACTAGCTAATAAGTTTCTTACACATTGCACTAATGTACTGTGTTGTGGGTTAATAAGAATTTCTGCCACTAAATTATCACTCGCATATTGAAAAAGTTGTTCACCTAAAATATATTTTAAACATCCCTTAATTAATAACATTGTTTTGTTAGTAAGTACTCCTTTAGTATTTTATAAAAATTAAACAAAGCCACAAATATACCATTTTTGCCTTCTTCGCCTTCAATATTTTGATTAACAATAGCATTGAATTCAGTAACTATATCAACACAACTCTCTTCAAAATTCCAACACAAAAGCCCTTAAATATTAACAAATACGTGATTATTTTACAAAATATTACAACATGCAATATGTACCATACTACCATGTAATTTCCAATAAACAATAGATTAAAAATTATAAGTGAAACGTGTTTTAGTTTGTATGCAGAGAATTTAATTTGATATTTCTCCCCACTATTATTATTATAATTTTGATTTCCACARGGATAAGAATACCTCTRTTTATAATTATCAACATAAAAAAAATTAGTTACAAAAATTATAGCCGGTACCTATTTTAATATTTTAGACTCAAATATGAATATATGTATCATATTTTGATTTGATATATTATTTTAATCATTCCATTAAGTAGTAATGTGTACAATATTATATGCATGGCTTGAAACTGAAATTTGTTTTCCGGTTTCGGTCATCGATATTTATTTTTTCCGATTCCGATTCTGGTTTTAATATCGATTTTGGTTTTAACTGGTATCCAACATCGATTTAAAACCCAAGATAGTTACTATAATTTTTTATAATGATATAAAATACTAGCGTAGGAACCTACTCGCCAGTCGCCAAACATTGCGTGGTGTACGATTTAGCGTCTGGTTTTATTAAACATTTATTCATTGACAAGTCCGTAATATAAAACTTAGAAATAAACTAAACTATTACTAAAAACTAAACTTTAATGAAATACTTAGGTACCTAATACACAGTAACAGAGTGACCGTATAGACTTAAAAAAACTTAGTACAATGTACCTAATTTTAAGCTCAAGTAATTGCTTAAGAAGAGTAAATACTGAAAGACCACGATAGACGATAGAAAATTACGGACATCTGAATGGTATTACGAAGTAATAACTTAAATGATCACAGGACACAGGCCACAGCTAGATTATACTATCCTACCAATCTCATTAAATTATACAACAACAATAAATTATTATGACATTCAATAATCAATTGATATATCCAACCGACGGTATATCAATTCCGATTTCGATTTGGGTTCCGGATAATTGTGTTAACTTTTTCCTATTTCGATTTTTAACGGTTTTAACCGGTATCGAATATCGATTTCAAGCCCTGAATTTTGTTTTAGCAAGGTGAAGTTCAACATCGCGTAAAAAAGATTTAAAGATTTAAAACATCAATATTTCAAAATTTAGTTTTGGTGATTTTCTTATACAACCATTATGTTAAAGTTTCTTGCCATAAAGTTAATTGTTTGAGCACAATACCGATATCTATTTAACTGTTTTATTTTATTTTTATTATTATTTATCATTAATAAGGTTAATTAAATTAAGATTAAATGAAAAAAATAATGATCGGTTAGAAACACTTTTAAATATTTACTGTATAATATATTGATWTGTAAAAGTTTTATTTTCATGTAAGTCTGTCATGTTTGGTTAATATCGATCAAATTTTATATTTGGAGCAAAAAACCATTGTTGGATGTCCATCAATCACATTTTCCAAAAATAGTTTCTATAGCTTCCTTGCCTAGTAATCGATGCTTTTTGTAATTAAAAGAATGAGTGACATCAACTTTTATTTGCACTATACCTACATTGGATTACATTGATTTTCTGCTGTATTAACAAGCTTAATATATTATAGTTGAGTTGGATGAGAAAATAATCAATATTTTAACGAAATTAATGTAGTAAATATTCCAGAYYCAACCACATTTTTATAGTTTAATTAAATATAAATTATGTTCGCTATAGTGTTTAATGTTTATTATATAATATATTTCACAATTTAAATTAAAATCTCATAATCTAATAAGTCTAATGCTCCGAATTCTTTGCCCCAATAAAAATAAAATAATTTCATTTAATATCCAAGATCTTAAACCACTTTACCAAATTCATTCCAGTAGAAACTATATCCCAAACAGCCTTACCAATATTTTAACCTCCACGAATAATAAATTTGTTTTTKACTAAAATTAGTAGTCATTGAGCTCTACGCATAAATCACAATAGTAACTATACAATATGTACTAATTAAATTGTTGATCAAGATCAAAATCTTATTAGTACTTCCTAAGTATGTTATCATTTATTTTGTAATTGCACTATATATTGTAATAGGATGTATTGTCTGTATATTTGAAATAAATAAATAATATATAATGATTTAAGGATAAGATTAAAATKTATAAATAATTATTAATTATCTACCTAACAATATAATTACCGACAACCATAGGTACGATTCATAAATTAAATGTATTAGTGTGATTATGAAATACATTTTTAATTTTAAAAATAATGCATTCGAACCGCTGGTGTATGTTCAATATACTATTAACGTATTAAAGCTAAAAAAGTATTCATATTTCATATTTTAATATTGTTATAGACAAAATAAAAGCTTAAGCTATAGATAAAAAATAAATAAACGAATCAATTAGTTAAAAWTTTTTTMTTTTTTTAGTATTTGAAGATTATCATAAATGGCATAAATTGACTTAAGTATTATTATATTTTTTCAATAATAATAGTTTTTAACGTTAATAAACTTTATATGCTAAAATATTATGTAATTACCTATTAATATTTCGCTGCATCATTGATAAAAAATAATGATTGCTTCGTTCACTTATTTGGACGATAATAGAAAATTAATTTAAAAAAACAGTAAATGATTATTGTGCGCTTATTCATTTTTTATTTATGTCACTATTATTTTCATTGTTAGACAATTTACCTATTACTGGAAACGATGAACAATCAATCTGGTTCTATATTATAAGTGTAATAAGTATATAATTATTTATTATGTTGATAAATTATACATTTTACTCACGGAACAGTACAAGAGTAAAGGGAATTTAAAACTAATACCACTAACGGGTACTAGCCAATTATTTTTTATACTAGAGCATAAATCGTAAAATGCATATTAAATACTTATAATGACAATGTTCTACTTTTTTATTTAGTGATGTATGTTGTGTGGGTTTTTGGATAGCCTTCATTCTGGAAATTTTACAAGCTCAGCTTCTGAGGTTGATTRTACTTTTGTTTATCATTATAGTGTCTGCGAAGAGCAAGTTAAGGAATGTAACAAAGAAAGTGAATATTATTACGTTCACATAGGACATACCTCTTCAGTAAAATTAAAAAAACTATAAGGGTTTGATTTTTATTTTCCATCTGCACTATCTTTTTAGGTACTTGTCGATCACTTGACCTGACATATGTACGGATATTGCGTAATTCTAGTGACACCAGCTGATACCGTGTGTGTGTGTGTGTGTTGGTGGGGAGTGGTGAGAGTGTAGTCAGATAAGCCACGCCCGACTCTTCGGAAACGTCACTGCCGAGTCCCGCAACCCAATCAATACCTGACCTACTCTATCTCTACTAATAAAAAGTTGCCAGAAAAGATAAGTTGAATTTTTTAATTCTTAGAATTAGAAGATTTTTACCTTGTTATAGCTAAATGGTCTTTAGAAAATACATTAATACTTACAGGAATAATGTTTACAAAATTATTGGCTTTTATCACGAAACGGTTATATAATCGTGGTACTGTACTACCTATTTAGCCTATATAGGTGGTTCAATTACACGCAAGGTTCTATAAGCAGTTATTATGTATTTATGTGACCATAATAATATGATAATTATATGTATTTAAGATATTAGTCTGTTACAGGGAAATATCTATTCAAATTACCTATATTTAATTTTCAATATTAATTTTTAATAAGTAATGATACGTTTATAACAAGATGATGCCATTAAATGATTTACAATTTCATTTTTTATTATTTGGTAATCTTTAAGTAAACTTAGGTATACACATTCACTGTTTGATAAAAAGGGATATCCGAATATGTCATTTTAATTTTATCTAACGAACGTTTCATCAAAGTTGACAATTAAAAATTAAAAAAATATTTTTTTTAAGCTTTAAGTACCTACTTAAACGATGGGCTGATGAGATAAGTAAAAATATGACACTATTGAAATTATTTTATAAATACCTTTTCATCTGAATTTGTCTGGATTGTAATACAAATTTACTAACAAAGGTATATATTCCAAATTAAAAATATAATTGATTTTAATTAGTATTACYTAATAGTTAAATTAATAAAAGCTATTGTTGAGCAATATTTTATGATAGAATATAGATTACAATAATTTATATAGAGATAATATATCTCTGATACTCATGGGCGTAGCGAGAGTTGCAACTCCCCCCCCTCCCGCCGTTCTTTATAGTGGCTTATACTAAACGTTCTACAATAAAATCAAAATACTAAAAAATAAGATATGTCTAAAAATAGTTTTTTCATATAAATCCAAATTATATTAATTGTATACAAAGTAAATTATTTAAGGTCTCTTAATCATGCATAGAAAACTGCTAGATGAAAAAAAGGAAGAAGAGCTGCAGCCTGCAATAGAAAATTCTAAGCAGATTTGCGAAAATTCTTGATGATTGTCATAGTTATAATTTAAAAATTACAATATARATAAATTCTTTTTTTTTAAATTGAGTTTTTATTCTCCCCCTTATTGAAATCCTTGTTACGGCCTTGGGTATACAATATTTAAAATATTATATACTTTCATCAAATGTTGTTTTGATATTTTTTTAACTTTTATTGCTATAAAATTATGACATCCCCACTTAATTRCTTATATCTCACTATATTGGATAAGACATAATATAAAATTATAATATAACATTCACTAACCCTGTGTTGTTGCTTTTGTATAAAAGTGAATTGATCTATTATCAAACTTAAAGTTTAAAACATTATCTGTGTCCTCGTTTCAATTTTTTTTTACGATATTTAACTCTTTATGCTAGTTATAAATATRTATATAATTTTACAATTTAAAAACGCTCATATTTTACAAAAAAAAACACAGCATTTACGTATTCTAATAAAAACACAGATACTTAATGTTCTTTACTTTAAATTAATTATGGACCAATCTAATCTAATACTAAAGTTAACAAGTGAAAACAAATAGTKTAATAACACCATCCTAAGTTTATAAAAATCCTAACTCAACTTATAACTTATAAGAAAACAAACATAGAATTTTCCATTTTTATAATTAATTATAACATAAAACCTAACTTTAAAGATGTATTTTGGTTTTATTGAAGAAAATATTGTATTTGGAATTTAGAGATATCTTTGATTATTGCAATCAAAAAAAAAAAAAAACATTAAATTCGAAACAATTGAAATTATTTAAGTTAAAAAAAAAACTCTTTCTACTGTCACCAAGTATTTTAGTAGAAGTATCATTTTTTTTCTTTACACTTCAATGAATAATTTATTGTTAAATAAAAATTAAACGAAACTCAGCAAGTTTTTGTTGTGGACACTTTCTTAAAATAAYGAATAATACGCCGTTCAAAACATATTTATTTTTAGCGCATTAATCACTAAGTTTTAACATTCACAATAACATTAATTTTATGCCATTGACCATCATAATTGTAAGTATTTAATGCTAAACTACTAGGTAACTAAATCGTTATTATGGAATTGAAAATATGTTAACTTAATAGTTTATAATCTCAATTAGTTAATGTGATAAAATTCATAAAAATGTGTGATCTTTCAGAACAGAAATTAGCTGGATAACGAACACCATGATAAATTAATTACATATTGTAAAAGTACTGGTGTTCAATATAATTTTTTATAAAAACATATTTGTATATAAACAACTAAAAAAAAAAAACCAAAGTGAAAGATCCACCTAATTTCTACAYTAATTATGGCACCGTGATCAAAATAGCATTCATATAAAAAATTACATTTTAATGTTTCATGTCATTAACGATTAACGAATTGAAGAAACTGAATTTTTTTGTCTGTTTCTGCTTGACCAAAACATTATCGACAAATCAATTACTTTTGTTTAACTATTAATAGATAAAAAAATAATCTGGAATCTTAACAGAAAAAATTGTTTTATGTACCTACTAAAATATATTGCAATATATACGAGTAGTATTTAATTTGTAACAATATTCATAGGTAGATTCTGAGGGAGGGAGCTTAACACCCAGAAATTTCAATACCACACTCGACCAAAAAA